AGTCAGCCGTAACGATCGACTGAGTTATGTTCATAACTCAGCTTATTTCTCATAAGTCAGCTAGGTTAGTTAAGTCAGCCGCTACGCACCTATATCTGGGCCGTAACGTAGTTCGTATCCTATTGCGGCTGAGTTTTATGCCGCATTCTTACGTGGACCCGAACTTTTTGCTTACGTGGCATAAAAAAGTAATGGCATTGTTGTAAATATGTTTTTTCTCACAACGTGAAAAAAGGGCACGCTGGGTATTAAAAAAAAGGTAGTAATAAAAAAAAGTTTTGTATGGTTGTGATAATAATTAATAAAATTCATACTAGTTGAGTTAACTTCCCAATGAAAAAGTAAACCAAATACTAAAAAAAAAAAAGGAATTAAACATAAGACGTTTAGGAATTTGAATTGGTCGGTGTATCTCTTGGCGCCAACGAGAGAGATGCTGCTGCATCACAGTATGACCCCAAGAATTAGGATTTGAAAATTAAATAATGAGAGAATAGTTCTTTCATAATGTTTTTGATCGATGGGGGTCTCTCTGATACTTTTTAACTAATCTGAAAGGAATTTGAGAGATATAAGCGAATGAAAGAAAAAGAATTGTAGGCTAAAGGATCGTGGATAGTTTCAAATAACCGTTATACGGATTTCTAACTTCAAAGCATTATCCTATTTTGTTGATTTGTTTTTTTTTAATTTTGTACATTTATTATGTGGCATGATATGATTAGTCAGTTTAACTGTGCTTTAGTTAATAAAAAGATGACATGAAGTACGTCATAGTGGTAATTCAGATATATTCAAGAGATTGGAAACTAAAAGATTGAATGAGTTTTTTTCGGGTTAGGGCCAAATTTTGCTAACAATTACTGTGTCAACTAGGATAAGACATGTACCTCGCAGGATAAATTTTTTATATAAAAATCACTTAAAAATAAATCTATATTATTAATTGAATTAATATTTTGGTTTTTAAACAATTCTTTTATTTTTTTGTTAATTACATAATTTGTTTACTAATTAGCTGATCTCATTTTTAAAAAGTTTTGTAGGTCAAAATATCACTTACCGCAAAGAACCTAACGTTTAGGTAAAAAAATCTCGGGTCTATTTGGTTACAATGAAACTATGTCAGCTCAGTTTTATATCATGGTTTAACAATTTAAAAATTAATTATGGTTATGAGAAGTTTACGTTCACGTGCCAATCATATCTACCTTCAATATTTTTCTCTTTTTGTGTCTTTTTCCTTTTGGTTATTTCTCGATATAAATATTTATTTTGAAGTTTATTTTCATTTTGTTTGCTTGTTTTGGGCTGAGATTTAGAAAATGCTTAAGATTTGAAATAATTAAATAGATACATAGGTTAATATCTGCATTTCTTTTTTGCAGAATAAGTATTTTATATTTTATATATTATTTTTTTTTGTTTTTCTTCATGTTATGAAATAATAAAAAATTAAGTATGTATATTAAATAACTAAGACATCAGTTACTATTAGGGAAATTGTCAAATATAACACTTTCATGATACCACATTTCATTTATACCTTAAGCAACTTTACCTTTAAATTTTTAATTGGCAAATTACTTATATACCCTTAACTAATTAAGCCTAACACTAACTCTTTTTAAAATCTTATCAGATTCAATCGACGTTGACGTATTCTCTAGCAGTGATGATTTCTCCGGTGGTGATGATTTGACGAGACATTCGAGTATTCTCCGACGACGTATTCAAATATTCCGTCGAGATTGAAGAAGTTCACGAGATCTACGCCTAGATTTGAAAAATTTTACATCAATCGAACATGACTATCGATGGGACGAACACTGTTGAAACGGCGGCAAAGGTACAACGGTTTTTAGCTTGATTTCTTAATCTCGTCGAAGAGCATGTGCATAACTGTGTGTTTAGTGCTGTTCTCGACCAGTTTCTAGGAAGGAGATGAGTATTTTTTCATGAATTTTATAAATCTCTTATTTATAAGACATTATAAATTTTTATCAACGAAGATCTTATGTTTCAGGTTACTATAATTGAAATTTGTGCTGTTTGCGGAGAATGGAAACTCGTAAATAGAAATCACTGAGATTTCATAACTGATGATGAACTAGGATCTTCTATTAGTATGACTCCCAAAGATATGAGGTTCAATGATTTGGTTGGGTATTTGTTAGAAGATTTTGGTATTGACTCCAACAGAGTCAGTGTGAAGCTTAGCTATGCATCTCTTTCAAAAGTAAACTTTGGAAGTAAAGATATTCCTCCAGTGTTTATCAGGAACGATTGTCATGTTTCAACATATCTGAATAAACTACAACATAATGGAGGTTTTCATCTATGTTTAACATTAAAGATAAGTACACATATTTTGTTATAATAGTTATCATTTATTTTAAAATGTAGTAGGTAGTTATCGCCATTGATTGTATCAAATATGATTCAGACACGGGATGAAGTTTCTACTCAAGATTTGCTTGTTCATGGATGTAGTAATCTCCTTGAGGTATTTTTTTACAACTTTTATATTAATAACGTCTTATAATTCTATTTTACAAGATTACAAGATATTATGTTTCAGAAGGGAACACAAATTTTACCAATAATTGCGTTAAATATGATTCAGACACGGGATGACATTTTGATTTCTCATGTTTTGCCTATTGCTGGAAATAGTAATCTGCTTGAGGTATATATTACAAATTTTATATTTAGAAAGCTTTATAAAACTATGTTTACAAGATTCATTACTAGCTTTATGTTCTTGTGTTTTAGAGGGAAACAAAAATATCTCCAACTATTGCGTCATATATGACTCAGACATGGGATGAAGTTTTAATTACCCATGATTTTCCAAATGCTGGAAGAACACAAATATCACCATTGATTATGCCAAACCCGATTCAGACACGTGATGAAATGTTCAGTAATCGCAATTCGCCTATTGCTGGAAGTAGTAATGCATTTGAGGTACTTTTCAACACTGTTTTATCTTAATATTCATAATTATAAGGTATTATAATTTTTTTAAGAAAGTAGATCTATATTTAATTTTGTAGCGAGGAATACAATTTCTCCCCGAGACTGAATGAAACAATATTCAGAGACTTGATGAATTATCAGGAATACGACATAATCATATAAGAGATAGTTTTATTTCTCCTTTAAGTGGTCTTGTTAGTAATAAGGTACATATAACATTTGGAGTATAATCAATATCTTATAATGAGTTATAAATTTCATTTTTAACTCTTTTTTTAATGTTCATGTTTCATTTTTTTGTCTTTAGAGAGGATTGAACTTGATGGGTCCTGTTGTAGATGGATCTGAAATGTCCAGATTGTCATCTTTTTCTAGCAGACGCGGTCAACAAATTTTGGGAGAAGAGTCGCATTCTTTTTCAGAGATCTGGTCTCCAACTTGTGCTACAAATCAATGTGATGACACTGATGATTTGTTCTGCGGGAAGTTTTTTAAGGACAAACAGGAAATGAGCACGAAGTTGAAGTCGCTTGTTGTTAGTCAAAGCTTTGAGTTCCGCACATAATGTTCAGACAGGAAACGTTATATTCTTACTTGTGTGGAAGAAAAATGTAGCTGGAGTTTTCGTGCAAAATCAGTGAAAGGATCTCAGATGTTTATTGTGCGTCATTATGAATCTAAACATACATGTGACACTTCTTTGAGAAGTGTTAAACATCGGCAAGCTACTGCGAAACTGTTGGGAAGTATGGTCAGCAATCATTATGAAGGAGGAAAGATTGGACTGAAACCAAAACAGATCATAGAGAAGGCTAGAAAATATCATGGTGTTTTGATTTCATATTCAAAGGCTTGGAGGTGTCAAGAGAATGCCCAAGATCTAGCTAGGGGTACTCCTGATGACAATTATGAAGCTTTGCCAAGCTAGTTTCACATGTTAAGAGATAAGAATCCAGGTTCTATGACTTTTATCGATGTTGATTCTCTTGGGAAATTCAAATATGTCTTTTTGTCGTTTGGTCCATCTATCAGAGGGTTTAAGCTGATGAGGAAGGTGATTCATATTGATGGTGCCCATCTGAAATCAAAGTATAAAGGGACTCTACTTGCTGCCACATCACAAGATGGTAATTTCCACTTATATCTTATAGCTTTTGCTGTAGTTGATTCTGAGAATGAAGCCTCATGGAGTTGGTTTTTGATGTGTTTGAAAACAATCATTCTTGATGAAGAGGATTTGGTATATGTCTCTGATCGTGCTCAATCTATTGAAAGTGCTCTTTCACAACACTATCCCCTTGCTCATCATGGAATCTGCATATTCCATTTTGAAAAAATGTCCTAGACAAGTTCAAGAGTTCAACCCTCACCCCATTGATTGTTGAGGCGGCTTATGCGTACATCAAGGAGGATTTTATTTATTATTTTAACGAGATTCAGCAAGCAGAACCTGAAGTAGCAGACTATCTTCGTAAAGCAGACTTTAAGAAGTGGTCACGAGCATATTCTTCTGCTAATCGTTACAACATCATGACATCAAACTTGGCTGAATCCATTAATGCTTTGCTGAAAGTTAATCGTGAGTATCCGATAGTATGTCTTTTTGACTCTATTAGGGTAATTATGACTAGGTGGTTCACTGAATGGCATGAGCAAGGAATTCGTCATATCCACCCTGTCACTTTTGAAGTTGGGAAAAAGATGAAGGAGTCATATGATAAAAAGTCTCGCTGGCTAGAAGTCTTCAAAATTAATGAATCAGAGTTTGAAGTTAAGGGTGATTCAAGAGATCAAGTGGTGAATTTTCAAATAAGGCATTGATCCTGCTTTGTGTTTGATGTTGAGAAGTTTCCTTGTGCTCATGCTATTGCCGCTGCAAAATCTGGAAATAAGCATGAAAACGATTATGTCGATGAGTTCTTCTCAAATGAAAGGTTCGTTTTTCTCATTCACTGTTTATAAAACTTATCAAAATTATAAGGTTTTATAACACTTTTTTCTATTCTTTTAATTTTATTATTAGGTTCACACTAGCATATTCAGACAGTATTTATCCAGTTGGTGATAAAGCATATTGGGATATTCCTTCCCATATAGCTTCTACGGTTTGCTGTCCTCCATCTACTCGCTATCCTAGTGGCAGGAGGAAAAAAAAAAGAGGACTCCAAGTTCGTGGGAGCATGGAAAATATCCGTCAACATCCAAATCAACATCTTACAAATGTAGCAGATGTGGGCAGAAAGTTCATAACAAGAGTAGTTGCGTAGTGCCAATTTGATAATAAGAGTACTATAAATACTTGTGTTATGAGTCTTTACAATTTCCATGACTTTATAAGGGTTTATAAGTTTATAAACACTTATAAATTGTTCGACTTCGAAATTTTCTAAATGTTAAATCATTGTTTAATAGTTCCATATCTTTTTTTTACATGCCTTTATAAAACATATTTATGATTCATTTTCATTAAAATCTTTTATCCCTTATGTTATAAGGGATTATAAGTTTATAAACTCTTATAAATTGTTCGACTTTGACATTTTTAAATCATAAATTATTGTTTAATAGTTCAAAATCTTTTTTATGAGTCTTTACATGCCTTTATAAAACAGATTTATGATTGATTTTTACTAAAAATCTTGTATCCCTGATTTTATAATGGTTTATAAGTTTATAAACCATTATAAATTATTCGAATCCAACATCATTATGTTTTAGTTTATGATTCATTAGGATTAAACTTAATTGCATATTGTATATGTTCTCAAATGATTGATATCTTAGCTTAACAGTATGAATAAAAACTAAATATGTTGCCATATCAAAGTACTAGTGTTAAAACCAAAGGATAATTCCTTACCATAATGGATTAACGTACAAAACAGAAGATATTTCATTATCCGATTCAACAACAACAACTAATAACACTAAATAAGTTCATTGATATTAGTTAAAAGCACCAAAAACAAGGTAAAACAGACTACAAGTTATATTTCAAAATCATCCGTACCCACCTCCTCATAAATCTATGCACCCATCTTCAGTCGCAGTGCTGGTATAGTCTCATCACTGAAGCCATCAACTTTCTTCCCTTGAGCTAGGCATTCAATGTATTTCAGAGTGTACACACCGCAATCTCCTGGGTTCTCATTCTTGGGAATCTTCTTATGCCTCAAGTAAGTGAACTCCTTAGTACTCATTATAGGATCCACCATTTTGTTAAGCAATGCCGGAACCATTTTCATGAATGGCCTGCACTCCTCGCGCATCTGCGCTTCAGTCAAAATAGTTGGTATGCTATCATACACATTTATTACCTTTTTATGTAAATCAATGTGTAGAGCAATCCAATGATTGTCGTTTACGTGGTGGCAAAGAAAGAAAGAGTCAACATCTACAAGCCACTTTTTACCAGTGATAAAATGTGCATGATATTCTCTATTAAAGACCTTAATATAAGTTTCTGGCCACTCAAATGTCTTCTGATCATACTGTTTGTAGTCGTTGACCCATTTTTTCACAAACCAATGGTCCAAAAATGCAATTCGAAAAGAAGAATATGGAGATTGCGATTGCATTGAGCGTCTGTGAAACATAAGCATTACTGACGCCATGTGTTGTGACATAAAAATATAATAATCAGAATCGAATTAAATACTTAGCTAAACAAATCACAAGCAAAACTTACGGAGTCAAGCAGCCAGCCGTAACCATCTTTTGGCCAAGATTATCTCGGTATCATCAGCTTCAAATAAAATTCTGCGTTCCTCCCTTCATAATTGTACTTATCTTCGTTCCTGCGATGAAAATCAATGGAAGAGATTGTAAAATTAACAAAATAGGTTTCTAGAGAGAAAACTTACAAATTAGACTTAACGAAGTCCAAAACTTTATGTATTTTCTCTTGATCAATCATTGATAGTGGTTCTTTGGAGACATATTCACCAGTTATGATCTTCTTCACTGTGTCCTCCAAACTTAAAGCGATTTCTTCCAAAGAATGACTATTCTTTTGTTTCTTTGATCTGGATGTGCTAGTATCATCTCTCTTCATAAGAATAACAATTTAAGAAAATAAGAAATGATATCTGAATGTAAAAAGAACATATTTATAAACCATTATAAACAAAGTTGTTTGCCTTTTTTCCTCGTCCTCCTCTTGTCTCTATACATTGGTCGGGCTCTTTAGTTGCATCTTCATTTACCTCTTTCTCTTCTTCTTCTTCATGTGGACGATTTTCACATTTCCTCTTTTCCTAATATTTCAAGGCAAAAAATATCTTAGCAATTTAAAAATTAATAAAGGGAAAAGCCTTATAAAAATATCAAAACAAGAGAACCTGTCTAAGGGCATCTAAAAAAGATTGGAAAACTTATGTGTCACTAAAATTGGGCTGATCATTTTGTCCATTTGCAGTTTCTTGACCAATCTTGCTTCACTCTGTTTTGAAGAAACTCTACCTCCTTAGCGAGGAATTCAATCTTTTCTTTATCAGTAGCATCAATCCCAGGTACAAAGTTTTTTTGTTCCATTTCCGCTTCGGCAACATCAATGTTGACACCCCCATTAACCCAATCTTGTCTCTTCAAACGGTATCCTCTCTTCACAAGATCTAACACTCTTCCAAATTCATTGTCAACAACTTCTTCAACCAAATTGCCATGCAATTCTGGATCTCCATGATACATTTGACATCAACCTGAAAAATGTATTTGCATGATTAAACAATCGATAGAAAAAAAAACAATGCAAAGATCACATCAATTTTATAAGGCCTTATATATCGTTACCTTCTCATTAGTGTCAAATCTGATCACTTCTTCCATAGTAAGCGGTTTGGTTTCTATCCAATGCAAACACAATGGATACTTTGTTTCCGGATCCTTAATTCCAAAGTAGTATTTCTCTAGTTCATCCACAGAAGACAGTTCCCATAGATGAACTACATATATGAATCCACAAATTCCATACTGTACTTTCTGCAACGTTTTAATGGAAATGCCCTTGATTTCCTTGCATAAAAAATAATAAGCTATGTTCCCCCATGGATACTTGCAATACACTTTGTAGTTTGAAGCTCTAACCAGATTCTCCTCGAGTATGCGAGTC